GATGGTGAGGAATGGAGGGATTGATACTCCTTGCAGACAGCTGGTCAATTGCATCCTTTTAGAGAGTCCTTGAGGCCACTTGGAGCTTTCTCTGTGTCCTCAGGGAGGATTATTGCCGGGACTTTTCTGTGTGTGAATGCCATGAATTCACAGTAACTAAATAGATGGGGGCGTTTTTGGGGGGACAAGGAGCCTGTTTCTTGGTTCTGCTAAGGTTCTGTGGGTCAGAACTCTGTCCGTCTCCTTCCTTCCTGCAGCACGAGAAGAGTCCCTCGCCAGTGATCAGCCGCACGAGGGGCGGGGACAGCTTCAGCGAGCACCCTGAGGCCGAAGCAGCCAGCCCCACCCCCCGGAGCCGGCCTGTGACCCGCAGCATGGGCCACGGGGAAGCCTGCGGCCCAGGAGCTGAAGTGCCGTCCAGCCCCCACCGGAAAGCCAAGCGGCCACGCCTGTACTCCTCCGGCAGTTCCGTGAGCGTGCGTAGTTAATTCGTTTGTCTGTCTGTATCCCACTTGCGTCACATTTATAGACGGCTCCGGGTGGCAAACGTGTCGAATCCTCTTCCTTCCCCTTGTTTTTCCCTGCAACAACAACCCTGTGAGGTGGGCTGGGGTGATAGAGTGGGAGGGACGGGCACAAAGTCACCCGGCTGGCTTTCGTTCCTAGAACTCCCATTCTGGGGATTGGCCCAAAGTCACTCAGCTGCATTTGCATAGTTAAGGCGGGATTAGAACGCACCGTCTCCTTGTGATTGGTCGAGAGTCTTTTATGCCTAAGGCGGGACTAGAACTCACTGTCTCCTGGTGATTCGCCAAAAGTCACTCACTCAGCTTTTAAGTCTAAAATGGGTCTACAACTCAACATCTTCTAGTGATTGGCCCAAAGTCACCCAGCTGGCTTTCATGCCTAAGGCGGGGCTAGAACTCCTTGTCTCCTGGTGATTGGCCCAAGTCACTCAACTGGTTTTCATAATTAAGGCGGGGCTAGAACTCCCCTTCTCCTGGGGATTGGCCCAAGTCACTCAACTGGTTTTCATAATTAAGGCGGGACTAGAACTCCCCTCCTCCTGGGGATTGGCCCAAGGTCAGTCAGCTGC